TATGCTGTCCCCACAGCCGCCTGCACCAGTCCCCCAGGTGACATCTCCAGCCTCTCCAGGATGGCACCTGCAGGTAACCACTCCTCCAAAAGCCACTGCTGCCTTGTGGGGCAGGGGGGGGTGCCCTTGCCTTTCCTGTGGCCAGGGGAAGGACAAGGCTGTGTCCTTCCCTGCCCAGCCTCCCCTAGCCTGACCAGCCCCAGACATGTGGGGCACATCCATGGGGTGGCCCAGGCAGCTGATGACTTGAGGGGGGCCCTTCCTCTGCCCCCTGTCCCCATCTGGGTCCCTCCTCGGTGTCCAGGTGAGGAACTTGCGTCTCTCCTCTCCTCTCCTCCCTCCAGGCGAAGCCAAAGCCGCCCAGCAAGCCTCTGCCGGCACTGAAGAGCAAGAGGCTGTGCCGTGGTGAGGGGCCACTGGGACCAGCCCTCCCTCAGCCCCCACTGACACCCTCCTCGGTCCTTCAGCGGGGCGTCTCCCCAAAGGTGGCCCTGAAGCCACCCCCGGCCAGGAGGTGACCAAGGATGGTCCATCCACCACCACGGCTGAGGAGTTGGTGGCTCTGGCACTTGGGTGGCACAGCTGGGAGCCACCATCTTGCTTCCACCTTTACTTGAATTGCTCGCTGGACCTTCCCTTGGGAGGGCACCAGAGTTTACAGATATTTGAGTTGTGCCTTAACAGACATCATAGCTTCATTGCTGGCCCAGGGAGAGCTGGTGGCTGGGGCTTCGTCAGGACAACAGGAGCGAGGACGATGCCAGCTCTGCCCTTGGTGCCAGCCCTGAGTTGGTCCAGGCTCTCCTGTGCCCTGGGAGCTGCTGCCTTCTCTCCTGACATCCTGAATGTGTCCGGCTGCTCTTGCCCCTTCCCTGCTGGAGCCATGGCAAGGAGCTGCTGGGATCACCTGCCGGGCTCACCAGGGCAGGGGACCATGCTCTGGGGCCACCGCCCTGGTTGGGGACAGTCCCATGGGGGTCTCGCCAGGGGCTTTGGCAGGTCCAAGCTGGGCCTGGCTTCCCCATGGGGCTTTTATCTCTGAAGATACCACTTGAGTTACTGTTCTCCTGAAAGGGAATTTGCTGGGAGCCTTTTTACTGCAGCCATTAACTCACGACCCTTATGTGACCATTTTGAGCCACGTGTTGCGAAACCAGGCCGCCCTGTTTTTGATATAATTTTGGTTGAAGGCTTTTATACCAATAAAGACTGAAGGCAGTGGTGTCATGGGGTGTCTCTCGGCAGAAGCGGGCAGAGAGCTGCCTGGGGCTCAGAGTGGATCTGGCATGGGTGGAGCTGGGGGAAGAAGGGCTTGAGCTGAGCTCCCAAATCCTGCACCAGAGCCACATGGGCCAAACGGCAGCACTTCCTGCCAGCCGCACAGAGAGAGGCTGTTCTGGGGGCTGCAGAATGCTGCAGCGATTCCCTGTGACCACCAAGCACTGCTGGCCCACAGCCCCTGCTGCCAAAACAGGCCCTGGGCTCACTCTGAGACTGAAGACTGGCCACCGTAACTCCCACCACAGGCTCGCCTCCCATCATCCTGGTCCAAAGACAAGCATTCATGCTTGCAGGCAACATTGGCGCTCCAGGACTGGCCCATGGTCCCGAAGGACCATGCCTGCTCGGGAAATGCTCCTGCACCAGCTACATGTGTGCGACACCACAAGCTCCGAAGGATGACAGCAGAAAGACAGCAGGGCTGTAAGCGCTGCCCTTGCTGCTCAGCACCATCCTGTGGTTTTCTCTGAGCCCAGACTGCTGCAGGGGCTCCTGGGTGGCAGTCACTGCAGCTGGAACACACAACTAGATGCAGTTACTGCAGCGTAAGGTGCAGGTGTCCCCCCTCCACATGCCTACAGTGACACTGGCCTGAGGACACATAAAGCCACCAAGGAAATGGTAACAAAATAGTTTTATTCTGCATTATCAAAAGAACTTAACACTGTGCATGTAAACTTGAACATACGTATCGTGTTTCCTTAGAGAAGGTGCAGATCCAGCAGCAGTCCCCTTCAGTCACACGAACAGAGAGAATGGAGAGAAAAATCAGTTCAAACCCACATTCCTGGTTGCACCTGTGTTTCTGCTCCACAGCTCCCAGAGAACAGCAAAGCCCAGAGTGGGGTGTTAAAGCCATGAGGATTCCCTCTTCTTGCACACCTACTCAGGCTTCTGAAGTGGTGGCTAGGGAAGCAGACAGGGATGGAGGAGGCTTCTGCAGAAGGCACTGTGCATTACACACACACGTTGCTGCAGGACTTCAAAGCACAGGAGCATCTGCAAGTGTCCCTCAGACCATGCAGGTGGCTGATTCATACCCAGGCAGAGCAGGATGACATTTAGCCAGTGACAGCCACTAATGGCAAAGCCACACATCCACCTGGACGGCTGCAGGGAGGCCAGCGAGGCTCAGATCCAAAGGGAAGCAGCTCTTCCTGCAGCAGCCTGGAAGGTTTTCCTGCTCTCTGCATGGGGATCTCGCTCTGATCACTGCGGGACAGCTGTGAGCTGCCTGATTATTGCTTCTAGTGGTTCCCCTCGTGCCTTTGGTTCTTGTCATCTCCAGGCTGGCAGAACCTACCCCATCCACCCAGCCCAGGTGAATGGATGCCAAGGTTTGGTGCCACTTGGTAGTGACCAACCCCAGTGTGTACCACATGGAGACAAGTCTACATCTCCTCCAGGAGTGCTTCTGCTCTAAAAAGCCCGTCTTTGTCTCAAAACTCAACCAAAGTGGCTGCTGCAAGCCAGTAACACTGAGGAGGTGGAGGGTCAAAGAGATACAACTCCTCAAAGCCCTTCCCACAGGAGAAAGGGGACCTTGCAAGTCCAAGAGACCAGGAGACATTTCAAACTCCACTGCTACAAAACATGCTGCCATCTCCTCTCTGCCATCAGCCATGGGTTTCAGCTCTGCTGGCCAAGCTGCCTTCCAGCAGGACATGCAGACATCCTTCCTGCTCCTCTGCCCACCAGTGTCCTTCAAGGGCTGCTCTTCACCAGGAGGGCACCGTTTGCCCAAGCCTTCAGCAAGTGAAGACAAACCCCTGCATGCCAAAGCTCGGCATGGTGCTCCTCAGGCTGGGATCTCCAAGGCAGATGTTTGTGCCACAGCCCCTATGCACCAGGTGTCTACAGTGAAAACTGGAGAAACCTCTCCTGGCATCAGTAGTACCCTTCCTCTCATCCTCAGAGCACAAGGAAGCATGTTCACCCACAGCCTTCCTAAAGATGGGACTGGTGCTCAGCACCTTCAGCTGGCCTCTCACTGGGGCAGGGTCCTGGTCCATGGCTGGCTTTGAAGAGGAGTTGGTATCCTGGAGAAGAGCATCAACTGGGCCTCAGGAATTTGCAGACAGATGGAGGAAAGAAAGACCACCTGAAACTGCTGCAAAGTCCCACAGTCATGTATCACCAGCAGCAGCAGCAGCAGGGTCAATGCATCACTGCTTTGCTCCAGAGGAGCTGGGACAATGTAAGGCACCGTATGTCACCAAATTTCCTTGAGGAGAGACACTACCATCCTCTGAGTCAAGCCACACAGGATAGGAAAGCCTGAAAGCCCACACAACTCACTTGGGGAAATCATTAGCAGAGGCGAAGCTCAGGCTGTTTGTTTTGGGTTGAATGTTTCACCAAGGCAAAAGCTAAGCATGTTCCTCCCCTTGCCATGAGGCTACAGATCGTGCCAGGGACAGAAGATCTCAACGCCAGCACCAAGCAGCCTGTCACCACCATCCAGCCCATCTGGTGAACCATGCCAGGGCTGAGCACTGCAGGTGGCTGCACCCAAGGGGACAGGAAAGCAGGATGAACGAACATACAGATATGCCGGGCTGGCAGAGGAGAGGCAGTCTCTGAACTGGTAGTGGGTTCAGAGCCAGGCAATGCTGCGGTGCTGCCAGCTCGGGAACAGTGTTCCAGCCCAAGCTCTTGCCAGTTGCTTCCCCAGCCATCATCTTCTGGGATCGTTGCAGAACACAAGAAGAAACAGGTCCTAGAAACAAGCACGTCCTCACAGACAAAGGGGAGGACAGAGGAAAATAGATTGTACCAGCAGATTTCCCCCCTGAGCACATCTCTTTCTCTCACCCTGTGCTGGCACACGGGGAGCACAGGTTGGATATATTACAGCACACACCAGGAGAAAAGATCATCCTGCCAGCACCACTCATGAGTCCAAAGCCCTGTGATGCAGGAAAGCCTGGCCAGTGATAAGAGGACCAGAGATGGACTCCCACCGCAGCTGTTCAAGGACACACGAGGCAGGTCCAACTTCTTGGAGCAGTGGATTTTGCACTGGGGAGCAGTGATGCCTCACCTACTTTGCAGCTGAGGTGTCAAACATCTGATGTGCTGCACAGTGGGGTCCTCTTTGCTCTTCTCCTCCCCTTCACTTTGCTAGCAAGGTAGAGCAGTGGAAATTCAGCCCCCTTTCCCTGGTGAAAAGACCAACAGGGAGGCTGGGCTCTGATCAAACATTTCCCAGCTCTCTTCCTGACCAGCTGCTTGGAGGTGCGCTGTGCACTCTGCAATCTGATTTAGGGTGCAAGGTGAGACCCAGCCACCCAGCTGAAGTGTACTACTGTCAGTCACGGGCTGCCAGTGTGAGGCTCTTGCTTGCAGAGGGGGAGTTACAGAAGCCTATTAGAGATTGCTTGCTCTGTGTCGTTATGTAGTGTCACTGCCTACAGGAAAGAAGAAAATTATGGCTGTGCAGATCCTGTTCAAATGACCTATTCCACACCAAACCACTCCTCGCCCTTAGCAGGAACATGCAGCCTCCACTGGAGTCCTTGAGGAGACTTAGATACCATCTGCGGAAACCTGCCTTGGAGTCCACAAAATGAAGCTTCATCAGCAGGATGAAGGAAACCTCTTTGCTCGGCCTCAGTAAGGAGCACCAGGGAACAACCAGCATGCAGCAACATAGTATTCAAAGCCACATCTCCTGCCTCCAGAGTAATGCTCGCTAAATAATTGCACCTACTGCGGAAGGCTTTCCTGGTGTCTGTCTTTTAATATTCCAGTATAGGTATGTTAGTACAGGATTATCCCTCATTTGGAAGCACCAATTTAATAGAGGAAGAAATGGAAGAGGCAGAGCACTTGCAATGTGTTGCTAGAAGAAAATCAACCCAACTGCCACCTATACATAGGATGTCCACGCATGCGCTGTATCCGCCCCACCAGCACAGGACAACATCCCTGCTAAGAGCTGGGCTAGCTGTTGAGCTACACCGGGTGTCTTTCTACCTCTGTCAGCCAGTGCTTTCCTTTGCTCTGAGGTGGCTTTCTCCAGAGGTCTCTGGGGCCTTCTGTGAAGGAAGGCTGGTTTCTTGGGCAGTCCTCAGATTGGCTTGCTGGAAGGCACAGGAATCCAGAAACACGTTGGGGATGCGGTCACCAAAATACAGCTTGCTGTTTGCAGCTATCGCTTGGTATTTCATTAGTTCCAGATACTCGGGGGTAAGTTTCAGCTACAAAAAGAGAAACCAGAGACTGTAAGAGACAATCTTCTGGGCCCTGTGGATCATTTGATTTCAGCTCAAGGAGCTGCTTCCTGGAATGTGGGCTGTAAAATCAAGTGTTTTTTCCAGTGCTTCCCACCTGAACCTCATCTCCTGTGCAGAGGAGAAGAGTAAGCAAGTCCTCTTCTGACCAGCTTTCAAGTGCTCACCTTGTTGGAATCAGCCAGTTTCTGAGCAGTGTAGTACTCCGCATCAGCTTTTGCTTTCTCTCTTGCAAGGAATGCAGCATCTAACACCACAACAGAGGACAGAAGCATTAGCAAGTAAACAGATCCATCAATTTGAACACCTGAGCCTTTGTCCCATGGAGATGAGGTGACCCAGGTGTGCCGGTGACACAGCCTGGCTGGCCAGGTACCTGCACTGCTGGCTTCCTGGAGAGGCACCTGCAATGGGGAGGAATAACCGCAGTGCATGACCCTGTGCTACTGCATCCTTTATTATTTTTGCAGGATGGTGATGCCTAGGAGACTAGTTCTGAGGTTCCTCTACCCGCTACCACCCTCAGCTGGAAGATGACCCCAGCAGCACAGTTACCTTCAATCTCAGAAATTCGCTTCTCCGTTTCCTTCTCCATAATCTTCTGTTGATAGTGAATCCTGGCCACCTGAGCAGCCTTCTCTGCCTCTGCAATCACAACAGACTCAGCTCAGACATGCACTTCTCAGGGCTTGAGCATCAGCACCCTGACCCCAGCACCTGGGTGCAGAATCTGCCAAGCAAGGAGTCTGCTCTCTCCTTTCTCCTCGGGTCCTACGGTGCCAGTTTGTACTCCAAGATATAGAGTTACAGAAAGAAAACACAGTGCTGATGTTTCTAGAGTTGCACTGGCTGACAGCCCTTTTACAAGTGTGAGTTCACTGGGCACAGGGACATTTAGCTTCAAGCCCAAGCAGTTTTTCTGGCAGAGCTGTTACCTCTTGGCCTGCTATAGTAGGAGCCCCACCGTAGGACAGAGGTGTTCGTGGCTCTGCTGCTATGGGGAGGAAGGTGGGACGTAGATACAGCAGCACAAACACTCATATTTTCTAAATCACTGTTGGTGCAGCCTGGCCACGCCTCCTTCAGGGAGCTGGCAGCGATGCAAGTCAACATCCTACCCCAGCTTACCGGGGGACGTAGGAATGGAAATTCAGTCTGGCCCTGATCCAGCAGTACTCCCAGCTGGTGACATACCAATGAGTGCTTTTTTCCGGTCTGTCTCTGCCTCCTTCTCTACTACCTTCTGCTTCTGGGCTGCAATCAGCAGCTTGGTCTTCTCAGCCTCCCTGCAGGGTGAGAAACATTATCACAGGGAAACAGAACTGGAGAGCAGCTCTGCAAACCAGGCCATGAGAGGCCAGGGGAACGAGAAGCCAACCAGTTGCCCCCATCATGTCCTCACAGCCATGAGGACTAGCTCTGTCTTCAGCTGTATGAGCACACGCACAGCCAGTGGGTCCACGGAAGGGTTTATTCTTCCTCTCTATTTGGCACTGGTGAGGCCACATCTCGATGCTATAGACAGTTTGAGGCCCTCAGGACAAGGAGTGAGTCCACTGCAGGGCCACTGCAGACGTGGGGTGCAGGCCAGGGCATACAAGGAGAGGCTGGGCTTGCTCAGATGAAGACAAGGAGGTGAAAGGGGACCCAGCACCACCTCCCCCTCCCCAGAGGTGTCCTGCTGGGGCCGGACTCTGCCCGGAGGGGCACAGCGAGAGCCCCGGAGGCACTGGCACAAGCTGGAGCGCGGGGAACCCCGGCCGGCCCCAAGGAAACAGCCCATCCCCGTGCGAGCGGGACGTCCCTGGGATGGGGCCCGAGCGGTGGTGAATCCCCATCCCCGGGGGACGCCCTGACCCGCCCAGACACAGCGCCCAGGAACCTGCTGAGCTGCGGTGCTGGCCCTGCTCTGGGAAAGGGCTTGGACGGGAGATCTCCACAGCTATGTATCAGACTAAAATCTGTCTGCAATTCTGTGAGTTTGCTGGAGGAGAGTTTATAGGTGAGACATCAAGATCCCTGAGCCCTGAATCCAGTTTACAAGTCTTCTATAAGTTCTCTGTAGCACATCAGTATCCCCTCTACATAAAGAAGTAGGAACATAGCCTTGATATGGACTCCGTACACACTAATAACCGTCTTTGTGAAGGGCTGAAAGGCTTCAAGGTGAAAGAGCTATGGAAGTGGAGAAACAGAATGCACAAATGAACCTAGCCAAGCACACATTGACTAGAGCCCACCTCTCACCTTTTAAGGACCAGGTAAGAGCTTTCTAATAGCATTATGCCTGTGCTGGACCCTCAAAACCAATTAACACCATTTTATGTACAGCTACTCACATTAACTCAAAGTTTCTTCGGATGGCTTCTGGGATTTTGGGTTTTGTAACACGCACAGCCTATGGAAAAAAAAATGAGTACATTTTAAATTAAATATTTTTATGTGAGCTGCATAACTAAGAAACATCTTTGCAGAAACAGCTGTAGTGCTCTGAACATCTCCACATTGATCCAAGACCACACATAAAGGCTCCTGAACCTCTTGGACAACCCAGCTGAGCACAGCCACTCTCACAGAGGTGCCTTATATTTGTATTTCCTGTCTTTGCACCTTTTATGGCACCTAAGTATCAAGTAAGGTGTGTGTAGTAGACTGCTAAAGAGGTTCACCACCTTTGTTAGAAGCAGCTTAGTTCTCCAGCCCAAAGGCTCTTCAAACATCACCAGACAACGCTTCCCCAAGTACTGCTCCAGAGAGGGGCTCACAAACCAAATGAAATTAAATTGTAGGAGTGAGACTTGGCAAAAAAGAGGCAGGGCTAAGAGCTCAGGAATGGGTTTTCTGAGAGAAAAGCTTGCAAAAGTGACAACACAATAAGAGACATAGCGGTGAAGACAGGGGAGAGCAGCAGGGCATGGGTGGCAGCTGGGAACTGCTGCTGGGTGCATCTGCAGATCATCAAGAATGATGTGCACGGTGATGCTGACACCACAACGGAGGTACTTGCCAGAGACAGCCACTAAGCTGTTGTGGAGGACTCTCTCTGAAATATGAGGGAAACATCTCCAGAAGCAGGACCAGGAGCTGCTGCTGCTCAGCTGGCATGCAGTGTGGCTCATTACTGAGCTTTGGGAGATGCAGATTGACAGTCCACAGCTGTACAACTGCTTCACAACCCTCCTGCTCCATCTCCGCTGCAGATCTAGTGCTGAACCTGCTGCTTCTCTCTGGGGTCAGTAAATCTGCAAAGAACCCAGGGGCTTCCACAGAGGAGAATGGGATATGGACGTGTCCAGGCAGTCTTCACATGCAGTACAAAAAAGGAACTGTTTTCGTGTGACAGGCACTCTGGCCCCGGCAAACACACCCTGCCTGGGGAGAAGGAGCCAGCTGGACACTTGGGAACCACAGAATGGTTTGGGTTGGAAGGGACTTCTCCATGACCATGCAGTCCAACTCCCTCCTGCTATGGGCAGGTTGCTCAAAGCCTCATCCAACCTGACCTTCAACACTGTGATGGGGCATTCACAACTTCTCTGGGCAACCTGTTCCAGTGTCTCACCACCCTTACTGTAAAACATTTCTTCCTTATACCCAATCTAAACCTCTTTCAGTTTAAAACTGTCGTCCTTTGTCACTACAGGCCTTGGTAAAAAGTATTTCTCCACCTTTCTTGTAAGCCCCCTTTATATATTGAAAGGCCTCAGTAAGGTATCTCTGGAGCCTTCTCTTCTCCAGGCTGAATAACCACAACTCTGGTGCTTCTCTGAACAAGCAAAGAAAGCAGATTTATGGGACCACACTGGACCACAAAATCCTTCAGTGAAAGGATTTTTCTAAGATCTCAACAGGAGCAAAGTTTCTCCAAGTCGCTAAAAAGCTCACCTCACCAGCAACTGCAGGGTGTGCAGGCAAAATTCTTTCTACCTCTGTAATAGGCCCTGCACCAAATCAAAGATCGGTGTCCAGAACTGTGGCTTTTCCAACACGGGCAAAGATTCCTGTGTCATCAGGAAAGCCGCCAGGTCTTTGGAAAATCTCCACTAGCTGCTTCTTTTTCAAGCCAATGACTTAGTCTAAATCTACTTAAAACTACTAGATGGAAACACTACTGTGCCCTATCAATATCATTAATAATCAAAAGTTAAGGCACTAGGACATGCTGGGACTAACTGGCTGAGCAACAGCTTTGCAAAAAAGAGCATGAAGGAATCAAAAGACAAGCTCACAACAGCTCCTCTTCCCTGTGACCAGGACGTCAAGCCCCATCCTGAGCTGCACTGGAAAAAGCTCAGCAGCAGGCTGAAAGCAATTTTTATGTCCCTCTTCTTAGCACTGAGGAGGCTGCACGTGGATACTGCGTCCAGTGTGGGGAATCCAGTATAAGGGACACCAACAAACAGGAGAGTGCAGTTGAAAGCCACTGAGATGGCTATGTATAAGTTGCAGAAACTGGGAATAGGCTGATGGTATGGTACTTCTCCTGCTGATCCTCCTCCTTAAAAATGGGTATGACATTTGCCCATTTCCAGTTAGGAGTGACCTCCCTTGACCACTGTCACCTTTCAAAGATAAGAGAGTGGCTGCATGATGGTGCAAGCCAGCAACTCAGCACTCTGGGATTCATCCCACCTAGTTCCACAGACTTATGTGTGTCCATCTGCTCAGCTCTTCTCTACTCAGCCCCAACACTGCAAATGTGCATGGATTTCCAGTTCCTCAGGTATGTTTCCCACTGTCCTGGTTTTAGCTGGGCCAGAGCTGGTTTCTTTTCAGCAGCTCGAACAGTGCTGGGGTTTGGGTTCAGCTGGGATTTGTTAGGAGAGAAACACTGAGAACATCCCCATGTTTGCAGCTGTGTCACTGGGAGTGAAGGACTTTGTGCTTTGTCAGTCTGCAAGTGCAAGATCTAAGGGGGTGAGGAATATTGAAATGAATCAGCTCAGTTGGCATTTGGCTCTGCCAACGGGCTGTTCCATCTCCTGTCCCACCATGGGCAGGATATTCATGAGGGGCTCTTCCTCTCTTGCTCTCTCTAGCTTTCGCTCGGGCTCTCGCTCTTCTGGGATTGCGGTTTCGGTTCGGGATTGTCGCTCCTTCGGGATCGTTATCCGGGAACGGGCCAGGCTTGGTCAGCAGGTGGTGAGCAATGGCCCTGGGTATCACTCATTTGCATATTTCATTACTATTATCATCATTACTATTTAAAAATAATTATTATTTTAAGTTTTATTTGGTTTCCATAATTAAATTGTTCTTATCTCACCCTATGAGTCTCCTTACCCTTGCCCCCCAATCGTCTCCTCTGTCCCCTGAGGGTGGGGGGAAGGTGGGTGAATGGCTGTGTTGGCTGCTAACTCAGTGCCAGCCCAGTGAAACTATCACACCCAGGATATGTGTGTTTCTGTCCAGACACTTGACACAAGCCCCAGCGTATGCTGCTTTCACAGGGAAAGTTCAGGATCTTTCACCTTACAATGCTGTCCATAGACACTTCTTATCACCCGCTTGCCTCCACTTCTCTTCAGGCTGTGGTCACCATTCCAGTTCAGAAGTAAAGTTTTGCATCAGGCAACTTGGAGGACTTAAGGTTTCATACACATTAAATACTTTTAATAAACCTATAAACAAATGCTGTTAATTCCAACAGCATCTTCTCAATTAGTTATTTTCTCTTTCACTTCTTTCAAAAATGAATTGTCAGTGACCTCTGAAGTATTCATATGTGCAAACATGCTCTTCAAGAGGAGAGCATTATGCCCAAATACAGAATTATTTCCCTTAGAGCTCACAAAACAATTCAGTTCTAGGTACAGTTAAGATAATCTGAGTTACATAGCTGCATGAGGAGTGGCTGAGGAAACTGGGGTTGTTTAGCCTGGAGAAAAGAAGGCTGAGGGGAGACCTTCTCGCTCTCTACAACTCCCTGAAAGGAGGGTGTAGGGAGGCAGGTGTGTCTCTTCTCCCAAGTGACAAATAGTAGAACAAGAGGAAATGGCCTCAAGTTGCGCCAAGTGAGGTACAGACTGGATGTCAGGAAAAAGTTCTTCACTGAAAGGGTTCTCAGACACTGGAACAGGCTGCCCAGGGGGGGGGTGGAGTCGCCATCCCTGGAGGGATTTAAAAGATGGGTAGATGGGGTGCTCAGAGATCTGGTTTAGTAGTGGACAGGTACGGTTGGACTTGATGATCTCAAAGGTCTTTTCCAACCAAACAATTCTATGATTCTATGTGGAGAGTTTAAAGAAAGCTCAGCTCTTCACCGAAGGAGCAGAGTATTTCCTGACAAGAGACACAGTAACACGGCACAATTGTATGCTGAGGCACAATTCTACTGGTGGCAAGAGTGCGGCTCTGTTTTGAAAGGGAACAACAGGAAACCAAGTGCAGGATCACAGTATCTCTTCAGTACTAGAGTGTAACCTCTTTCCTCACTAGTTATGGGACCTCTTCAAACTGCTGGTCTCATGACCAGCTCAGTCTGGGCTAATGCAGGTAGGATATAACTTTTGACCAACAGCGAAGACTGGCCATGCCAAACTGAGATGGGACAGCGTACGGTGAAGATCAGATTTAGCTCTGTAGTTAACATCTCCCAGCAAAAGAGCTGTGAGCTTTGCTTACACCCCTCCATACCCTGAGATCAAAAGGGCTACAAAGATGATTAAGGGGCTGGAGCATCTTTCTTATAAGGAAAGACTGAGAGCTGGGTCTGTTCAGCCTGGAGAGGAGAAGACTGAGAGGGGACCCTATCAATGTTTATAAATATGTAAAGGGCAGGTATCAAGACGATGGGGCCAGACTCTGCTCAGTGGTGGCCAGTTTCAGGACAAGGGGCAACAGGCACAAGCTGGAACACAGGAGGTTCCACTGAAACATGAGGAAAAACTTCTTTACTGTGAGGGTGCCAGAGCCCTGGGACAGGCTGCCCAGAGAGGTTGTGGAGTCTCCTTCCCTGGAGAGATTCCAAACCTCCCTGGACACCATCCCATGCAACCTGCTGTAGGGAACCTACTTTGGCAGGGGGGTTGGACTGGATGATCTCCTGAGGTCCCTTCCAACCCCCACCATTCTATGATTCTGTGACTATGACGATAATTTTGATTGATGATGAACTTTTGTAGAAAATCTCTCTGTGATGTATGACACAAGTTAACTTGGATATTTGGAAGAGTGGTGCCATCTCACTTTCTCTGTGGTAAGACACAGCCAGTGGTTCACCCTCATCAAAACAGAGCAATTCTGAGCACAAACGAGCCACAAAGAACAGCATTTATAGTAGTACTTCACATGCTGTCAATAGGAGGATCTCCCTCCCTGCACGCAGCCAGCCAGTCTAGCTAAATGTAGCAACAAGAATGGCAAAACAGATGTGGTCTCACTCTTCCCCACAGTGAAAATCTCCAGAGATTTCCATCTCAGCCCTTGCAAGCATAAAACTGTATTTTTCCCAGTTGAACTTTAACATGACGAAAAGCCAGTATGTCCCACAGCCCAGCTAAGATTAAACATGATTTTCTAATATCAGAGGGTAAGCAGAAAATCACT